TCGTAACCGGGGCCCGGGCGTTGGCTGCGGTGGGTCAGTGTCCCTCGTCGCGATATGGGGACCGGCTTTCCTGCACGGGGGGGGAACGGTGCTAAACGTGGGTGGAATCAGTGGCAAAAAGACTGTAAATACGTCCTGGTGTTGCTGGAGCGTGGCGGGAAGGGCAGGAAGCGGGAAGAGCAGGTGCTTGGCTGGCATTTATTTCAAGAACAAATGAAGATGATTTGTACATTTGCTGATAGCGTGGATAGAAAGGGGTAGATCATCTGTTATGCTATAGTCAGCTCTGTAACTGGAATTTGATTTTCTTTTTTTAGTTATAACCTAACATGTAGTGTTTCACAGGCGGTTGCTCAGATGAGACGTATCACTGGGTAAACAAAATTTCACGCAATCATTGAGGCAACTGATATCATATCTAGATACAAATTTTACAAAGCAAAGACACTACAAAGGATCTTTCTTATTTCATGTAGGTATCACACTGCTTGATCAGAAGAACGTTTTTTGGGTATCCCCTCACTAAAGCAGGTTTTGGTCTGGCCCAGCAGACTAAAGGTAAGAAAAGATTTGCTTGGGCTTCTGCCCTGTTTCAACCTTACATGAAGAGGTGACAATTTCTGCAGGAGTTTGGCATCTGCTCTCCTGTACAAATCCTATTCCTCATTCTGTTTTTCTCTAGATGTTTGTCTGAGGTTCTGCAGACCACGAAGTTCTGCAACAGCTGCTGATGCATCTGGAGAGGACATCTTACTCAAATGGGGCCTTTTTCTGGTCCCTCTGACCACGTTCTGTCTCGGCACTTGGCAGGTACAAATAAATATTTCATTTTTTCAGAGATGAGCACTTGAGGGCTGTCAGGTTTTTCCATCTCTGGCTGTTCAATCTACTTCAAATCATATGCAGGGTAAAGATTTGCTGTTGTTTTACCTTTCTGTTTTCCAAGTATCCATTTGGAAGTCTTTAAAGGAGAGATTCTTTTTACACTTGTATTTTGGTATAAATATTTCCTCAAGTTAAAGTCAGTAGCCTCCATTTCCATATCTCCAATTACCCTGTTTTAGGCCAGGTCTGAGGAGAAACTTAGGACAAAGATTTTAAGGCTTGCTGGGGTTATTACATTGCTCTGTTCTACCATAAAGCATTACTTTTGTGTTTGTGTACTTTCAGGTTCAGCGACGGAAGTGGAAATTAGATTTGATTGCACAACTGGCATCAAGAATTACATCAGAGCCCATCCCTCTGACATTAGAGTACGGAAGCTGAGGCAGTTTGTTGTCTACAGAGCACTGACAGTGTGCTAGGGATATTAGATATGGTCTCTGCACTAATGAGCTTATGCAGAACTAAACTGCATGAAAATGAAGGAATGCAATGGGAGTCAGGACATGCAAGCAAATTAGCAAGACAGACATCCTGTTAATTTTCTTATTTTTCATAAGAGAATAAGTTTCCCTGTGGGATATTCTAAATGCATGTAAGAAGGATGAATCTCCATTCAGGAGAATGTGGTATGTAGCTCATACCGTATGTAATCCTCCTGGAGAAGGAGGACATGGTAGCTGGTGTCTGTGATGTCCTGAAGGGATTATTCCTGCAACAGGGAGTCTTGGATCAATAGCAGGCCCTGCCCTGAGCGGGAAACCATTGTGTCAGATCTCAGAGAGATTCTCAAGGTCACCTGGCTGTGTGGCACAACTGTCAGAACAGCTGAGTTTGATTTCACTGTCTGGGATGGGAAAGAAACGCTCCCTGTTGGCTGGATGCACATGCAGTGCATCCACTTGCTGGTCAGCTGGGTCTGCCGTCAAAATGGCACTGGGTTACAGATATCAGGGAAAGGAACTGCTCTCTGGATACTCACCATCATCTCCATTTGAGTCACTGTGATAGCCATAAAATATTAAGCCAGCTGCTTACTCCCTGAGGTGTTTGTCTTCTGTTTCTGTTTGCCAGCTGGCCCTACAGTGAACCATTAGGGAAAAGGAGAATCCCACAGTAAAATCCCCTAATTTGATTTGCCTGTCGTAGCCATGATTTTGTTTTCTTCTTGTTCCACGCAGTCCCATGGAATTGAAGGAATTGGAGTACAGACCTGTAAAGGTCCGAGGGCGTTTTGACCACTCCAAGGAGCTCTATATTTTGCCACGGTCACTTGTGGACCCTGAGCGAGAAGCCAGAGAAACCGGGCGGCTGACATCCCACCCGGAAAATGGAGCAAACGTCATTACTCCTTTCTACTGCACAGAACTAGGGTAAGTTAATGAAAGTCATGGCTCATGTGAGCAACTGGCTTCTGTTTTGAAAAGCTGAATCGCGGTGGTTGGGTTTATAGAAATGGCTCCCTCTCCCTTAAAAGGCATCTCTCACAGTCTGTTAGGTCACTGAGGCTCGATTCAAAATTGTTTTAAATTCTCTTATAACATGCACTCGGATGACAAAAAAAGTGGCAACGAACATATGGGTTGCCTCTTTCTTTGATACTTAGTTCTAGGCAGCAGCAAGAATAAATTTCCTTTCGCTCATGAGCCATACCTCTTTATGTAACTCTAGGGTCACGATTTTAGTCAACCGAGGATTTGTGCCCAAAAAGAAACTGAAACCGGAGACCAGGCTGAAGGGGCAGGTAAGGGGGGTATGGGGAATGTCGCGTATTATTTCCTGCCCTGTGATTACCCAGAGGCACTACTGACAAACCAAGAAAAGGCAGTGGCCACATTCAGCATCACGAGAAGTTACTTAAATAGTCACTGCACTTTTCAAAGATGAGCCTTTTCTTCCCACCTTTTTGTTAAGTAAATAATGTTTTTTACAAAATTTTATACTACAGCACTGCTTCACTGCAGGGCACAACCACCTGATTCATAATCAGACCTGGCAAGCACCATATTTTTCTACCAGGACCTGGTATGCCAGAATATGACATGAACCTTGAAAGATTCCTTTTTTTATGAAATGAACCTCGAAAGATTCCTTTTTTCTCCTCTGCACTTCTCTTCAGATTGAAGATGAAATTGATCTTACTGGGGTGGTGAGGTTATCAGAAACCCGGAAACCTTTTGTGCCTGAAAACAATGTTGAGAAAAACCGCTGGCACTACCGCGACCTGGAGGCCATGGCAAAGGTGACCGGCGCTGAGCCCGTCTTTATCGATGCAGATTTCAGTAAGTCACAGAGGAACCCAAGCCCGCGTCCAATTTATAAAACAATTTACAATCTTTTTTGTGGACTCCGCTAGCTTTACTATTTTGAGGGCAATAGGCAGCCAGCACTGGGGAACGGTAGCATACTCAGAAGAGACACACGCAGGCGGTGGTCGATGCCTCAAGCACAACCAGCCACTTGCTGTAGGGCTGCCTGCCCTGCAGGTCTGGCTTTGCTGGTGACTTGGGCACACCAATGCCTGAGGGAGGGGAGCAGGGTATCCCCCTTCATCCCATTTCTCACAGTAAGGGCAGCTCCATAGGGTGCAGACTGGAGATTTAACTTGTGCGCTGTGTTGTACCTGTAGGAAGCACAGTCCCAGGTGGGCCCATCGGAGGCCAGACAAGAGTGAGCCTGCGGAACGAGCACATGCAGTACATCATCACCTGGTACGTTACCCTGCCAGCCTTTGAGTGACCTTCCGGGTCACCGAGTGACCTTTACTTTTGAAGGTAAAGCTTTGAACTGCATTCCGTTGAAAGCAAGGGAGCAGTTTTTGCCTGGCATTCTTGCTCCTGCATCAGTGA